TACACTTCAGAATTCAACTCAGTCAAACAGAGCAAAGCCGTCATATATATACAGATGCTGGTGCTGCAAATGTGGACTTTTTTGCCTCCGTGTAGGAGCGGCGACTGTGGTTGTGTGTGGTTTTGGGTGCGACTTTGAGAAATCGGTTCGTGAGGCTGCTCAGACTGAGAGACAAGAGACCAAAATTTCTGACATGTCAGAAATCCACCCGATCATCCAACTGCTCAATCAGAGCTCGTTTGGGCAGTTAATCGGGCATTCTCCTCTCACACTGCACGGCAAACGACGGCCGATGAAGCTGAAATTCCGCCCGATCATGAAATTCAGTCGGCTCTGACCAAATCAGGTTTATAAACGGGCTAAAATCCCGTGTACGCCTGGCTTAAGAGCCATAAGTGAGAGCAGGAGGAGGACGTCAGCGGCGCAAGAGGGCAGGAGAGCGACGACAGCCGAGAGAGGCATGAAGGCAGTGAGGCTTGGGCACCACCTTTACTCCCTCTCTCATCGTCGGTGCCCGTCGGTCAGGCAACTGCCACACACACGAAGGAAAAACATTTTGCAATGCGGGTTGTGATTTGGACTCCTTCCTTGAGCAGATGAATCTGATGGTTGCGGTTCCATTGAGAGAGCATTCAAAAAGAACTCCGTCAAAACTTGGTGAAGGACGTCTTCCGAGGATGTGAGGGAATTATCTTCATCAGTATAACGTTAATCTCACATATGAGATCTAAACATGAAGCTGGATCTTCTTTTTTGAGCCTGTGTGTGTAACGTTAACACGTAAAGACATATGATGTAGTCCAAAAAACTGCCTCTGACTTTTAAATGATCATTATAGGCTTTAAAGGGCACCTCAATAGTGCACACGCAGCATATTTTAGCCTGTTTTTGTTCCCCCTTGATCCAGTAATGCTACTCCTTTCAGTGTAAACAAAATAACAGCGTGTGGATGCAAATATGTTGGGGAGGGGGTCGGTAAGAAGGCACGCTAGTCCCGCCTCTCCAGACACCACTACACCGCAGTATTTGCCTAAATAATGATTTGACCGTTTTCTTTTCCAAATTATTGCTAAAAGGACTCTGGGATGGAGAAATTCCCTGGCTCTGACCGCAGCAGTTACAGATCAATCTGTCAGAGTTGTTGACGTCCTGGCGTCTGCAGAGACTCATCATCACCTGCCATACCGCACTTTGATCTCCCACCACACACTGCAAACGACACGCCCTTATTAATGAGGCCACAGCCAAGCAGCTCCACAACACATAAAATAGTGCGACTCAGTAAAAAAAAAAGCAAACATTATTACAGAGGCAGCCTTTTAATTTGGTTTTATTGGTAAAGCCACCCAAAGAGCCTGCAGTCAAACACTCGTTCTCGTTTGCTTTGATTAGTTTCACCAATTAACTGTGCTCTACCTGCCAAATGAACTGAGACTCATTCTCAGTTCACAGTCAGAAACGAAAAAGCCATAAACATTACAAAAAGAGATATTAATTAAGCATGAAAATAATTACAGGTCTCTTTTTTTAATGATGAGGGAAAATAAAACCTTCAACAGTGTTTACAAAACACACACACACACACACACACACAAGCAGGCGGGTGGGCGAGCTTTTGGATGCAGAGCGGAGTCGATGGTTGATATATGGCTGTGAGCCGCCGTGGTTCCAGGCACTGTAATTACAGGGCTGGGAACAGGGCAGAATTTGGGGGAGAGCGGCTGGAAAAGCGTCCCGGCCCAGGACACGGTCGCATCGTAAATCACTCAACGAGCTGCTGCTCTGCATACGCATGGTTATGTGCCAGTCTACTGGATAGCAACAACAACAACGAGGAAAAACAGTCAAATGTTTTGGAGGAATATGGAGGAACTGAGGAATTATTTTTCCTAATGCAGTTATCAAACAGAACTAAAGAAACTAAAAAAAAATTAAAAAATGAATGTATTATTATTATTATAATTATTATTTATTATTATAATTATAATAATAGATATTAATAATAGACTGTTGATCTAAATAGTTGCATTTTTTGCACATTTTATTTCACTTTAACAATGTTATCTGCTAGAATTACTGTCTCAACCAAATACTGTATACTGTATATTGCCGTTCTGGTTGCTACCTCAGTGACTGCTATGCTCATATATGTTAGACTACCTGCTAAGCTGCTAGTATGTCATAGTATATTCTCATAGTATACTCTCAGTATCGTGTTCTGCCTGTGTTCTGTTTTAATTTTTTGTATTTATTTATTGTACTGTACTGTCTGCACTGTGTTTACTGTATTGTCTCACACTTGTGTTCCTGTGTTGGTCCTGGAGGAATGTTGTTTGATTTCACTGTGTACTTGTATAGCTGGAATGCCAATAAAGCCTGACTTGAGACTTGATACTTGAGATTATAATAATAATAATAATAATAATAATAATAATAATAATAAATAAATACCACTATAATGTAATTAAATTCAATAAAAATAATGACCAAGAAAAATATAATAATAATAATGATAATACTAATAATAATGAATTGTAATATATATTAAAAATACTACTACTAATAATACATATATTTTTAATTAAATGTCTCAAATGTATTTTTTTTTAAATGTTTCAAATCCTAAAAGAAACACTCCTTTTCTTTTTTTTTCCTATTTGTCTTCTTTTACTGAAGGTCTCATTGTGTAACAGTGTGTAAGATTTACACAATGAAACCTTCAGCAAAAGCAGACCACCATCTGAACATCCACTTCTCTTCAAAAATCACCTTCTGAAACATTTCTTTGAATGTTATTCTGTAGTTTCTTAAAAAAAACTTTCAAAGAACGTTAAATGTAAATTAAAATAACAGCTGCTGTAAGGTGGTGGAGTAACGATGCACACATTTTCAGTCCTGATGCGAGTTTCGATTCTGAGGTGAAGAATCAATTTGATTTATGTTAAAAACTGTCGTGATTCTAAAGAGCTCTAATTATGCACTCCACAGGTCGGTTTGGCTCAGATAAACAAAGGTTTTAAAACGTTTTCAGTGCCTGCTGCTCCGCCCTCTAACAAAATAAACCCCAAAAATCACAACCTCTGGAGTTTTTAAACAACTTCAGGAAAAAACACCCAGTCATTCGAGTGTGAGTGTGTGCAGGGCATAAGCCCCGCCCACTCCCCACCCACTTTACTCTGACTGAATGCATTCTGATTCCTGGTTTTGATCAATGACGGTTGTTTTCACAGAAGACGGTAAAGGAGAGACCCTCAGGAGAGACTGAAGGCAGTATCAGTGATACAGATTTATATTTTCATACAGTGTTTTGAACACAGATTTTTTTTGATTGTTCAATACTCTATTTAAATTGTCACACCTTAAACTGTGAGGCATGTGAGTATCGGTCATTTCACACCGATGCATGCAAAAGTTTGAGCACCATTTGAATTCTATTTTTTGTGGATTTTCTAAGTAAAAACAACACATCCTCTACAGAGAACACACTTCATTTTTATGCACAGTTATTGTTTATTTGCTGAATTAAACATATTAGGGAAAAAAAAATACATAAATTGTGGCCTATGCAAAAGTTATGGCATATATTATGTTTTCTTTTTTTCTAATATGTTAAACTCAGCAAACAGGTATTGCACACTAAACATTGGCAGAAAAATGCCATATTTCAGTGCGTTCACAGTAGAGGATGTGCTAACTTGCACCAATCAGGCATAACATTATGACCACCTCCTTGTTTCTTCGCTCACTGTCCATTTTATCAGCTCCACTTACTATATAGGTGCACTTTGTATCTGATCCACTCAGACCAGCGCAACACACACTAACACACCACCACCACGTCAGTGTTACTGCAGTGCTGAGAATGATCCACCACCCAAATACTACCTGCTCTGGGAGGGTCCATGGGGGTCCTGACCACTGAAGAACAGGGTAAAAGGGGGCTAACAAAGTATGCAGAGAAACAGATGGACTACAGTCTGTAACTGTAGAACTACAAAGTGCACCTATATAGTAAGTGGAGCTGATAAAATGGACAATGAGTGTAGAAACAAGGAGGTGGTCATAATGTTACGCCTGATCGGTGTATTTTTACTTAGAAAATCATTAGGAAATGAGGAAAAAATCAGACTAGGATGTGTCTAGAAAACAAGGCTTTCAATGATGGTTTGCCATATCTTCTTTAACCTCCACATTTCTATATATTGCTGTTGTTGGGACAAAACCTCGTATCTCGTTTTTTAGTTTTTGACGTAATTTGAAAATGTCTGTTGCCTTTTACACTGTTTGTAAATCTCATGTTGAATGGACCAAAGGAAATGTCCTAAAATGACTTGGAAACAAATTCTGGTTCCATTGACTTCCATTAAAAGTAAAGAAGGTTTTTTCCTTCTCCTGTAAAGTTACCATTTTGGAGACACGAGGTTTTGATCCAACAACAGCGATATAGTCGGCATGTTGCTTGTCGTATAAGCTCTTGAATTGCAAGAGTCCAAACGCTTAGACACATTTTATTTTACTGTAACCATGATAACAGAGTTCTGATTGGTCAGCCTGATTTTTAGCACATCCGTACAACACAGAATACCGAGATGGCCACTGTTAAGAATTTTATGGACTGCCGCAGTCTGGTACTTTTGGATTCAATGCGAATGAAGTCTTAAAACTTGGCGTGTGTTTAGTTCAGCTGCGAAAGTGATGAGGCCTTAAGGAACTGCAATAACCAAAGAGTGTAAAGAAGGTTTTTTCCCATAGAATACACCAGAGCAAGAGTACAGCACTGCAACACCAATCAAACCACCACAGAACCAATTAGAATATCCGGGAAAAACTGCTTTGGTTAACCTAGATGTCAATAAGCATGCTGTGTTGTGTTGATTGCAGGCAAATTGATTTAACTGTAAAATAACCGGTGAAACTCTAAACATCATTCTTTACTAAAAGGTTTTTTTTTCTGTTTTCTGATTTGATACACCTGATCCAGATGATATTCAGGTTCTTACCTGAAACATCTTCATACACATGAGCATGCCCCGTTTGGGGTCTGGAATTAACGAGCACACTGGGGTCTGACTGTCCAACTCCATCACTTTAATCTGCAAGAGAAGAGAAAAGAGGGGTAACACTTTCTATGAATGGCACCTTTGTAAGCATCTATAAACATGTTATAATGCATTCATAAGGCATTATAAACATGGCTATAAATATTTACAAAAATGCATTACACATTATACAACTCATAAGCTGTATTTGTCCCCTCTGAGCAAGCCCCCTCCAGTGTTAAGAGTGAGGCTTCAAGTTGAAGCATTTACTGAAGAATTTACTGAAACACTAAAACATACACAGTAAAGCACATTACAGGCTTAGTTCATCAAAATATAATTTCAGTGTATTATAACACACATATAGCATATATATGTGTATAATGAGCAGACATGTATATCAATAGTGTTGATGCTTACATCAATTATATAATTGCTGTTGGAATAAAACCCCTTTATGAATTTCAAAAGCCAGCTTGAGTCATAAAAGAGCTAATAAAATGCTATGCTTTGCAACTAAGGCTTAATGTGTTCATTACGCCCACACAATGTGAGTTTCTGATAAAATTTGCCAAATGGGCTGTAAAGAGATCAGAATCCATAAGCTATAAAAAAAAAAATCATTATCGGCGCACTTTCAAAGTTAATGTAACAAGATTTTGTTATAAACGATTTTGGTAAATTTTTTGGTCTGTTTGTCATGAAATGTTAACACCAGGTAAGGGGCAGCTGGAAATTTTAAATAAATAAATAAATAAATAAATAAGATTGGCCAAAATAGGTTAACACACTCTGTACAAAGAACACACTTGTGCACATTTTAATGCACAATTATTACTTATTTGCTAAGTTTAGCATCCCGAAAATGCAAAAACTCTCTCCTTTCAAAATGAATCACATTTGAATCAACCACACGCAACTGGTGGCTTTCTTAGCAGCTCACTTTAACACCAGGCTGGTCCCACAGTTTTGACATTTAATAGGCATGTCAAAAACTGGAAGCTTTTGGTTACAAAGGGAAAGTAAGGAAGAATAAGAAAATAACACCTTTTAATGAGATTAACTAGATTCTAAATGGTGACTTAGTGACTTTCATTCAATTATTACTTTAACGCTGTATCTAAACCACTACAGTCACAGTGCTGTCAGGCCTGTTTGTTTGCTACCGCTGCATTTACAGGCTGACTGGTAGTGCCTGGATGATCACCAGAGGCGTGCGCTGCTCTCTGCTTCATCAAGTCTTGACACGATTTCCTCCACTCAAAACAGAGGCCAGACAACAGCTGAGTTGTAGAACAGAATGGGAGGAAAATAAACCTCTCTCTTGTACAACAAGACACTGAATAAAATCCTCACCTTAGGCTTTATAATCTACCTAGATAAAACGGTGATTCACACACAGTTTGCCTAATCTCCATTAAAAAAAGCAGTGCCAGTACTGGGACACTCGAGCTCATGACGCACACGAGGTCACAAAAAGCAATGCGGACCATCAACTAGAGGAGCAAAAAGCCCCCCAGCACTGAGCTTTGGAGCAGTGGAACTGTGTACTCTGTATAAATGGAGTGCCATCCATTACCTTCGGGATGAATTGGAGTGATCCAGAGCTTATCATCCAACATCAGTACCTGACCTCACTAATGTTCTTGTGGCTGAATGCGATCAAATCCTCACAGAAAAGCATTCCCGGAAAAGTACACGCTGTTACTGCAGCAAAGGAGGCAAATTCACTATTAATACTATTTTATTTCAGAAGAAAAGCTGGATGAAAAGTGTCTATGCATTTTTGGACATGATGTAAGAGCGCAGTATTTTATACACTTCAGATTTATAAAATAAAAATGACTTCCAAGTCATTGGTCAACTCTGCGTCACACTGTTGGAAGCATATAATTGTCTAAAATGTCTTTGTATGCGGTAGCTGGAACTAAAGGGCCCAAACCCTGAAAAACAGCCCCAGATGATTATCCCTCCTCCACCAAACTTTACTGCTGGCACTATGCATTCTGGTAAATAGCGTTCTCCTGGCATCCACCAATCCTAGATTCATCTTTTAGACTGTCAGACATTCCTACTGCTCCAGAGTCCAGTGGCGGCCGCTTCACACCACTCCAGCCGACGCTTGGCATTGCACATAGTGATCTTAGGCTTCTGTGCAGCTGCTCGGCCTGGAAACCCATTTCTTGAAGCTCCTGGCACTCAGTTCTTGTGCTGATGTTGCTTCCAGAGGCAGTCTGGAACTCTGTAGTGAGTGATGCAACAGAGGATAGGGTATTTTACACGCTATGCACTGGAGCACTTGGTGGTCCTGCACTGTGAGTTTGCATGGTCAACCGCTTCATGGCTGAGCTGCTGTTGTTCCTGGACACTTCCATTTTACAATTATAGCACTTACAGTTGACCAGGGCAGATCTAGCTGGACGGATATTTCATTAACTGACTTGTGGCAGAGGTGTCATCCTATCACAGTGCCACATTTAAGTCACTGAGCTCTTCAGTATGACTAATTCTACTGCCAGCAATTGTCTATGGAGACTAAATGGCTATGTGCTTGATTTTATACACTTATTAGCAATGGGTGTGGCTGAAACATCTAAACTCAATAATTAAGAGGGGTGTCCAAATATTTTTGGCCTTATAGCATAGACTGACTTGTAGAACATGATTATGGTCACAGCATAATTCCATACACAGCACTTCACAGTTCACAGAAAGCAGTAAAAATAAGGGACACCTTTCATGAGATGGTGCGCCCGAACTGGTAGCGTACACACAGGCATACCACCCACACGCTCATAAACACCGCCTGCCAACTGGCACACGGTCTGATTAGAACCACAGACCCTCAAGACAGCCATGATGGAGCGGTCCAGGTCAGCGCTTTAGGTCTGAAACTGATTGCCAGGACGATCAAGATTCATCCTCATTAAGAGCTCAATTGAACAGCTCTTATTAAAAGCCTATTCATATTTTAACAGTGAACCACATCTGGAGCTGCATTCACCTCCCCACTGTAAACAAAGAGGGCTTTAAGAGCAGAGGTTTCATCCCCTCAGGTGTGTGTGTGTGTGTGTGGGTGTGTGAGTGAGAGAGAGAGAGAGAGAGAGAGACATAAACAGAGATAAACAGAGTGAGAGACACAAAGTGAGAAAGGGAGAGATGAGAGAGCAAGAAAGAGAGAGAAAATGAGAGAGCAAGAGAGAGAAAGAGAACAAGACAAAAAAAGGATACAAGGAAACAAAGACAAAGAGAAAAAATAAAAAAGAAAAGTGCACAGTAGTACTTGACGTGTGGTATTACCTTGCCATTTGCTTTTCTTCTCTCTCTCTCTCTCTCTCTCTGACAGCTCAGGAGGAAACTGACAGTACTTTCTGCCTCCAGGCTTTTCGTCTAACCAGCAAGCCTTTCAGCTTTGTTTCTGTTTCTAATATCCGCAGACATAAAAAGTAATTTGCGTACTGTTGCCTCATCAAAGTAATTGTCTAGGTGGAGTTTCACACTCGGCTGTAAGACTGGAGGAGGAGATACTGGATTTCTAGGCGCCACTAAAGTCACAGTACATTTTAGTGATATGCTTGTTCAGTAGCTTTGTACATAAGTGTATATATATATATATATATATATATATATATATATATATATATATATATATATAAACAAAACTGTGTATCTCCATTTTTGTCATAGTTTGAAAATGCCTGTTGTCCTTTACATTGTGTGCAAATTTCATGATAAATGGACCAAAAGTAACGGGCCAACATTACTTGGAAATAATTCTGGTTCCATTGATTTACATTAAAAGTAAAGTATGTTTTTGGCTTCTCCTGTAAAGTTAGCACTTTCAAGCACTTTCAAGATCCATTTTCAAGCTTTTCCAGCAGCTTACAGCTGTAGTAAATTATATATTGATATATATACATACTCAAAATAATGAATCATGTTAAAATAGGTGATATTATGCTATAAACAACTAGAATTGTGTTTGGTAATAGCAGAAGGATAAGAAATTAAAGGACAACACATATGCTTTATGTTTCAAAATGTGTCACCTGTTTGTAAGTAGACCATCACACACGCACATACACACACACCTGTAGACCTATATGTATGCACATATATACATATATATATACATATATATATACACACACATACATACAGGTTCACAGGTGTGTGTGTGTGTGTGTGTGATGGTCCACGTGTGTGGTAGGAACGCACACTCTTTTTTTATTCTTATTTTTATTTATTTGTATTTTATTTAATACTGTAAAATGTTTGTCACTGTGCACTGTGAGCTCCTGTATCCAAAACCAAATTCCTTGTATGTGTAGGCATACCTGGCCGATAAAGCTTCTGATTCTGATTATATACATACATACTTAATGTATATACATATGTACATTAAAAATAACTATTCTTGTAATACATTATTTAAATAATCATATTAGTTGATTTAATTCATAATCCCAATTTTCCTATTTAAGTGATTTCTGGATTTTTTACTTTATTAAACATATCATGGTCTTCTTAGGTTTCTTTCTTTAATTATTTATTTGCACTGTGAGGCGTTTCAAGCTATATGTATTAAAGTACTATGTAGCTTAAATTAATAATAATAATAATAATAATAATAATATCAACTTTATTACTAGAAGAGGTGAACAAAGTCATTACTGAAAACCTGCAGTAATCTTTAACTTCTGACCTTCTGGTAGTTAACCTAACTGCTGATATAACTGATTGGATGCCATAACATCTTTTTCTACAGAATAAAATGAGAGCACTCCTCTCGTCCCACTCACCTCCTCCGTGTGTTCTGCTGGGAGCGCCAGCAGGGTTTTGCTTGTCTCTGCCTCCAGCAGGCTGCACTGACAGAACCCGACGCTTCCAGTGTGGAGAGAGTGTGTTAATGTGTTGCGGCCCTCGTGCAAATCCCACATGCACACTCGCATGTCCCGACCCTGACTGAACACACAAACAAACAAACTCAAAATCCTCTTACTCTATCTAATCTGATCAATAACCTGAAATCAATCAATATCTTTAACCTCTTAAACTGAGCACTTAGTTATTAATCTGATGGTAAAGTGGTGTCCAAAAGTCTGAGACCACTCGTGAAAATGCTCCTATTCTCCATTCTCTGTAAGTTTTGGGGATTTGGAGACCTCTCTGGTGGAAATGTGCAACTGCGCACAACGTGCAGAAGAACATTCTGTAATGCTGGTTGACGTTCGGACCCCTTCCCAGAGCGGATAATCGCATGTTACTCAGCAATGCTTCTTTCAATTCCAACAAAAACATACCTAGTGCAGCTTTAAATATGTTTCATTGCAAAATATATTATCATTATTTTAAAAATCTGAGAGAGAAGCCTCTGATGAGCAAATCAAACCCACCTGAGAGCTTTCTGAACATAAGCTTCAAGAGAAGAGGTAAGACTAAAAAAACAAGGCCTTAACACAGTCAACGTCACAAATTTGCCAACATTAGAAATGTGCAAGAAAATTTTAAGAGTGTTTATTTCCATGTGTTTCCAGAATTTTGGACCCCACTTTTTATTATACAGTAAATACTATGAATCACTCAATAACTACAAACACTCTACTATGCAATGTGAGTAGTTACAAGAGTGAAGAATAGAAATTCTACAAAAGCCTCCATGATTAAATGATCGAGATGTAAACAAAGTCCTTCAGAGTGGTTTGATGTGAAATGCTCCATTTTAGAAAAACTTACTGAGTCAGAATTGTTCACAATGGTGATGATAGGAACCAGACGTCTGAAGAACTGAATGCCTTTGTAATGTACCTTATAGAAAGTTATGCTGTTTGATAACAGACATTGTTTTCTAACAATTTTGTGGCCTTAAAATCCTTGTTTAAAACACTTTAAAATCCACTCATGGCACTGTAAGACACTGTGAGGCACAACTTACCAAAGAAATGTTTGTTTGTTTATTTTTTTTTTTTAGATTTACAGCTATTTTACAATCATCTACACTACATATAAAAACTCAGAAGACATATGCAAGTTCACTGCTCATTTTACATTGCAAATAAAATGGCTATATCATTATTAGATATCGAGACCCCTGGCCCCTATCACCACCACTGTAAAGAAATCACAGTCTGTAAGTTTCTCCATTTCACATTAAATCACTCTGAGTGACTTTATTTACATCGCAATTACTAAATTATGCAAACACTTCGAACATTTGGCGGAATTTCTTTTAAAAAAAAACATATTACGATGTAATAACAGGGTATTATATTGTATCCGATTCTCAGGAAGCCAAGTGATGCCAGGTGAATGTTAATCTACCTGAGGAGTGCGTCAGTGGAGTTGACAGTGCTGACCCAGATGACTGAAGCTCCATCATGACCTTCGAGGACTTGCTCTGCTCTCCGATTGTTTAGATTCCACACATGGACGCAACCTTTCGCTGACCTACAATAAAACAAAGAACAGTGTTAGCATTAAGCTCTGTGCTAAGCATAGAGGACAAACATCATAGCATATTCATATGAAGATACAAAATCCCACAGAATCAGAATCAGAACCAATTTATTATGCCCAGTATGTTACACATTCCTTACAGGGAATTTGTCTTGGCGAGTCACATGTATGACATATAACACACTAAACAGACCAGACAAGCACACAGACTGTTAACATGTACTTAACTAAGGGACAAATAAAAACACAATAAATGCAGTAGAGCTAAAGAGATGTGTGAATATCTGTACATATGCAGGTCTGATGACGTATACTATGAAACTATTATACATTATATCCCAATGATACAAATATGTGCAGAAATGTATACATCTGTACATCTGAGCAAATAGCTTTATGTTACAGAGGAGTTACTGTAATACAGTAAGGAGGATTGCTGGTTTAAGTTTAACGTGTGAGGTGTCCACTGTGGTCGATGAGTGCTATAACTCTGTTAGCATGTCTGGTTGTGCTGGTTCTGATTGCCCTGAATCGTCCACCAGAAGGAAGTGGCTGAAACAGGTGATGTCTAGAATGAGAGGGGTCAGCAGTTATTCTGCCACCACGCTTCTATAAAACTACTATACATGAAAATATTTCCAATTTGGCTTTGCTGGTTTATTATCAATGACAAACTGTAAGACAGTAGATCCACCAACAACAAAACAGGGCTTGTTTGAACATAATATTTAAGTCTCTTGTCATAATCATGTCTGGAAAGGTTAAAGCTGATTGTGAGTCTAAGAATAAGCAGAACACAGCTGTGCAAAAGCATCAGTGGGCTTAGATACAGAGGAGTCAGAGTAACACTGATTATATTCAAATCATGTTTACTGTCACATCACATTTACACCGGTGCGAATTAATATTAACAAAAATGTATAAAAATATATATAAATATATATTGTGTATATATATATATATATATATATATATATATATATGTTAACATTAATTCACACCTGTGTAAATGTGATGTGACAATACACATACACATACACACACACACACACACACACACACACACACACACACACACATATATATATGTATAGCTATTGTCGGAGGAAACCTCATATCTCCATTTTTTATATTTTTTATATAGCTATAATTTGAAAATGCCTGTTGCTCTTTACATTGTATGTAAATTTCACAATGAATGGACCAAAAAAACGGCCCAAAATGACTTAGAAAAAAAGACTGGTTCCACTGACTTACATGTGTATGTGTGTGTGTGTATATATATTTCAGATTATATCAGATATGCAGCGAAAGAGTCCCCAAAGAAAGCATATTTTTTCAGATTTTCCCACAATTTACTGTCATTAACATTACATAAAACTCAGAAGGTTCACTGCTGGTTTTAGACAGTAAATAAAATGGCTGTACTTGTGTTGAAGACATGGCGACTCCTGGCTCTTATCACAACCACTGTATAGAAATTAAACTCAAAAAGCGTTCACCAAAAAATATATCATGGCTTCTAACAACAGTGGAACCCTTTTTAGTGCCACACAAAACACTTCTATAAAGCCCTTTTTGGAAAAATTCAAAATGATCTTAAAAAGGTTCTCTAAAGAACTGTACACAACAGGTGTTCCATCACAGAGAAGAACTACTAACGCAGACAGGGAAAAATTTAGCCATTCAAATGTTTCTATACATATATATACATATATATATACATATATATATATGTATAGCTATTGTCGGAGGAAACCTCATATCTCCATTTTTTATATTTTTTATATAGCTATCATTTGAAAATGCCTGTTGCTCTTTACATTGTATGTAAATTTCACAATGAATGGACCAAAAAAGGGCCCAAAATGACTTAGATAAAAAGACTGGTTCCACTGACCTACATGTGTGTGTGTGTATATATTTCAGATTATATCAGATATGGTTAGAAGATGTACAAGATGTCAGTCTATATGCGCAGATAGTGATTTGCTAGATGGAAGTTACAGTATGATCAGAGTGAGTCTGTTATGTTAGGACATAGGTCCCAAAATTGTTTTTGTTTTTTTCCCCCAGGACTGTTTGCATACTAGCGGTGTGACTCTGAGGGGTGTGACTCAATATTTATAATATTTTTATATTTTATGTCTTTGAATATCTTGGTTCTACAAAGCTCTAATTATGCACTACACAAATCGGTTTGACTCAGATAGATGAAACTCCTCAAACAGAACTTTTTCAGGGCCTGCTGCTCCGTCCCGTAACAAAATCAACTATTCAACATCACAACCCATAGAATTACCCATATAAACGACTTCAGGAAAAAGTCCTGTCATTTGAGCATGGGTGTGCCCACAGCACAAGCCCCGCGCCATGTCCGCCAACTTTTCTCTTTTAGGATGTGCCAAAATGCATAGTTTTGATCACTGACAGTAGTTTCCATGAAAGACGCACATTGTTATTAATACTGATTTAAATAAGCTTTCACTCGTTCCAATGATTTTTCAAACGTGCACCATAATCAAATAGTTAAGATGTAAACAAAGTCATTCAGAGTTGCTAGATGTGAAACGAGAAATTTAGAGTCAGAATTGTTCACAGTGGTGGTGATAGGAACCAGACGTCTGAAGAGCTGAATGTGCGACAGCTCCCTCACAGAAAGTTATTATATGAAATGTTTATTAATGCACTGTCTGATGTTTGAGACGTTGTTTTATGATAGTTTTACATCGACTTTTGGGCTACAATGTGTTTCTTTATATCCATTTATTGCAGAGAGGTACATGCAGGGTGTTATGCAGCGAAACTGTACACAACAAGTGTTCCATCACAGAGAAGAACTACTAACGCAGACAGGGAAAAATTTAGCCATTCAAATGTTTCTTTGCGTGTTCACGGTTCAATATATAACCACTGCCTTTACTAAAGAGCTCCATCCAGAGTAGAAACGTAGGAAACGTAGGAAAGTGATTGGCGGGTGCTCACCCCGAGTACAGTAAAGGACGTCCCGCCCTGCTGCAGTGGAAGTGGAGCGTGTTAACGGGGGCCGCTGACCCCCTCAGAGTAAACAAAGGGTCCGGGGGAGGACAAGCCATGACCACCAAGATCCATCAGCCGGACACATTAGCAGACTCTAACCTGGAAAAATAACCCAAAACATTGCAGTCAAAATTAGTCTGTGTACGACTGATTCCAAGACCTTTAATAATGTAAATATACAGGCTGGCAGACGAATGCATTATCGGACATAAGGAGGGTTGAGTTACGGTTCATTCTCGCTGATTAATTTCAAACCAGTAGATTAAAATGGGTGATTTACGGTGCCGGCCCACCAGCGGGCAGAAGTTTCAGCACCAGAGCGTTCGGTCATCCGCTTTCCGACGAGCCCCTTACTCCACCCGAATGGAAAGCCTGCGCAGCCTAAATGAGCCTCCTATTAATGTGCCTTTAACGAGTCATTACATTCGTCTTCATCTGCGCTTACACAAACAAACTGTAGCAGTTTAACTTCGAAAAATCGCTTTTCCTCTACAGAAAGCCCAGATTTTCTGATTGCTAATCATTTAAGCATTTTCAAACAGCACTGCCTTAGCGTCGGGGGATTCACTGGAGAAAACTGTAAATAAAAATAAAGCCGGCGGGTATTTAAGGTGGAAGCAAGGTGTATGAGACTTCTCTTCTTTTTTTTTCCCTCTTCTTCACGATAACAGCTCTTACTCAATATGTCATGAATCACAGCAGGAGACAGTTTAATTACTGTAAACAGGCTGGGCCAAGACTCTGCCTTTTGTGTTTTTTTTTTTTCTTTCGGGACCAGTGGCAGGTTTTTGAAAGCTCAGGAGCGTGCGGGTGTTTCATGTTGGCTGTAGGGTGGGCCGCGCAAAAAAATGCCGCCAACCACAACAACGCAGGCGGAAACAGTGTGTCAATGTCAAATCATGTTTTAAAAAAAAAACAGAAAGAAAAGAAAGGAAAACTACTTTCGTGACGGATTTTAAAAAGGACGTCTTAAGTAAGCCGACAAGCGAGACGCAGACACAGAGGCCTGTCACGAACAGGAAAAATCCGCCAACAATTAATCATGCAAATCATTTAAATAATTCCACTCAACGATTTGTTATAATGTTATTCTGAGCTACTTTTAAAGTACAGGCAGAAAGTAGTGACAACTGGCTGATTAACTGACCCTGTTTACACCTGGTCCAGTGCCTGGATTACTACCTAAAAAAGATTTTAACCATGTGCGTTTACAGCCAGTAGTCAAACAGATCGCCTTTAGTCGGAAATCCAACTGCAATAATGATGAGTAATATGCAAATCAGCTCATATACGCCAATCACAACTTTGCATGCTGCTGTTTGTTTCCTTACACCTGCAGTCAATTCAGTACAGCGTCTGTTTATGGTAATTAAGTCAGTGTAGTAGATACTGAATTAAACACAAGAGCACAAATATCAAATAAACAAACATTACTAATAACCACCCTCTAAAGATGTTACCAAACATCAAATAAACAGTCATTACTCATTATAAACATTAGGCCATTACTGGCCTCTAAAGCTGTCTTTTAACAATCACCAAATAAACAAACGTGACTCACTACTGCCCTCTACAGGTCTTAACAAACATCAAATAAACAAACATTATTCACTGCTGCCCTCTAATGGCGTCATTAACAAAGATCAAATAAACTAACATTACTCAATGCTGCCCTCTAAAGGTTTAAAACATTTAAGAAACATCTACTACTCACCACACCCCCTAAATATTTTAAACACCAAACAATCATTACTTACCACTGCCCTCTAAATGTGTTAACGAACATTTAATAAACATTACTCACCACTCCTCTCTAAGCGTGTTGAAAAACATTACTCACCACCGCCCTCTAAAGGTGTTATTAACAAAAATAAACAAACATTATTCACTGCTGCCCTTTAAAGGTGCGTACAAAGATAAAAAAAGCAACAGTCACTGCTGCCCTCAGTGCCACGACTGACAAACTCTATAAAAGTATGGGGGGATGTAATTAATATGTTAATTACATTCATTACACAAGTTATAATAAGTACTCACACGTGAATAATTCCTATAGTGTTCATGAATTGCACAATAAAACTACATTAACACATATTGAGGATGTTGACCTTATACACATATATATGTGTGTGTGTGTATATATATATATATATATATATATATGTGTATAAGGTGAACATCCTCAATATGTGTTAATGTAGTTTATTGTGCAATTCATGAACACTATAGGAAATATATATATATATATATATATATATATATATATATATATACAAAATATATATATATATATATATATATATATATATATATTTTGTGTATATATATATATATATATATATATATATATATTTCCTATAGAAACCCAAGATGACTTGGAAAAAATTCTGGTTCCACTCACTTACATTAAAAGTAAAGTATGTTTTTTAAAGTAGGTTTTCTTCCAACAACAGCAATATATATATATATATGTATATATATATGTATATATATATATATATATATATATATATACAATTTTATTCATTACCTATTAACTAATGTATTTAGTAAACGATTATGTAACTGTCATGGAGTTATAACACTGAGGAATCATAAGTGAGAATCGTGATCTCAATTCTAGGCCAAAAAAATCGTGCAGAATCATGCAGCCCTACTTTATTGCTCAGCCTTAACACGGGGGAGAGACAAACCGAGACAGAATAGTATCTCTCTTTGAGTGGCAACCAATATAGCAGAGATTTTAGATATGGATCAGTAAAGTTAATGAAGATCCCTCATGCACAGGCTTATTTTCGATCACCCCTGCCCCCGTCCCTGAAACCGGAGCCCTAGCTATTTCAGAGGAGCTCATTTCGGAAGGTTAGTGGTTAAATTGTGCATGTTAAGCCATCAAGCGGAGCCTACTCTCTGCCCTACCTTCCTAATTAAGCCGAGAGCCCCCCACCCCCCGACAATAGGGACGGTCACCAGACACCCTACACTCAACTGTGACCGCTGGTGTCGCGAAAAGAAGACGGCCAAGATGAGCGGGTGGGTTTTAAAGAGTTCAGGAATTACAGGCCATGACTATCAGCCTCCAGCCAACACCGCACAGGAGCCAGAGGCAGACCACTGAGCTCAGCAGTGGACGATGAAATTAACCCTTAGGGTGGTGTTGCTAAAATTCACTTTCACAATGTTTGTTCAAATTGAAATAAGTAGCATTCAGTAGTAGAGTCACAAGGAAAAAACAGGCATAACATTATGACCACCTCCTTTTTTCTACACTCATTGTCCATTTTATCAGCTCCACTTACTATATAGGTGCACTTTGTAGTTCTACAGTTACAGACTGTAGCCCATCTGTTTCTCTGCATACTTTGTTAGCCCCCTTTTACCCTGTTCTTCAGTGGTCAGGACCCCCACGGACCCTCACAGAGCAGGTACTATTTGGGTGGTGGATCATTCTCAGCACTGCAGTAACACTGATGTGGTGAAGGTGTGTTAGTGTGTGTTGCGCTGGTCTGAGTGGATCAGACACAGCAGTGCTGCTGGAGTTTTTAAACACTGTGTCCACTCACTGTCCACTCTATTAGACACTCCTACCTTGCCAGTCCACCCTGTAGATGTAAAGTCAGAGACGATAGCTCATCTGCTGCTGCACAGTTAGTGTTGGTCATCCTCTAGTCCTTCATCAGTGGTCACAGGACGCTGCCCACAGGACGCTGTTGGCTGGATATTTTTGGTTGGTGGACTATTCTCAGTCCAGCAGTGACACTGAGGTGTTTAAAACTCCAGCAATACTGCTGTGTCTGATCCACTCAGACCAGCGCAACACACACTAACACACCACCACCACATCAGTGTTACTGCAGTGCTGAGAATGATCCACCACCCAAATAGTACCTGCTCTGTGAGGGTCCGTGGGGGTCCTGACCACTGAAGAACAGGGTAAAAGGGGGCTAACAAAGTATGCAGAGAAACAGATGGACTACAGTCTGTAACTGTAGAACTACAAAGTGCACCTATATAGAAAGCGGAGCTGATAAAATGGACAATGAGCGTGGAAACAAGGAGGTGCTCATAATGTTATGCCTGATCTGTGTACATCAAACACATTTCTGCCAATGTTACTGAAGAAAAAAGCATCGTTCTCTTCCAGAACAGCTCAAAACGGCATTTTATGGCCACTGAGAAAAGGGTTAAAACAGAGGCTATGGGATAACTCTCCACTACACTGTATCAATCACTGAATAGAAGCTCACCTGGTGCTCCAAAATGCTTTTTTATGTTTTCTTTGGCCGTGCCACAGTTTGAGTTGTTTGAAGTGCCATCTGCGCTCTCCTGTAGTGAATCCGAAAACAGAAAAGCTGGCAACGTTTGCCTCGTTTTTTTTCGCCTTGCTTTCAGCATCCATGATGACATGGCAGCAAAAGCATTTGCTTTCTGTAGAAACACAACACATCAGCAGGGCTGGGGATGTGCAGAGGAGCCTAGAGCCACCCTCCACTAAAACTATTACTACGTCAATGCAATAATGACGCCAGTGGAAGAGAAAGTAGCCACCAAAAAAACAACCTGTGAAAAAAATACTCAAGACTGAGTAACTTGTCGAACTTCAGTGGAGCTTTGAGTACATTCAGCATCTATGAGCACAGGAAATGTTTGCTTTTCTATTTTTGATGTTGTGTTGATCTAAGATAAAATGCTAAAGCCCTGAATAGAAAAGAGTAAGCAACAGTAAAGGAGTCCAGGAGTTGAACAAACACAATAAATGAAAATCTGAACAATGAAAAAATTGCAACTACTGAACTACTGAAATGTAACTGAGTAAAAATTGGACTCCTGTTCTCACTAATATACTTGAGTAGAAGCAAAAGTACCAACTACAAATTTTCTCAAAATTTCAAAACATTTCTGGATCATAAAAAAATTAAGATGTAAATAAAGTCATTCTGAGTGGCTCGATGTGAAATACATTCCAGGGAAACTGACCAATGGATGGTTATGAATATGCTGTCTGGTGCCTGAGACATTGAGTGCATGTAACCAATAATCCAATCATAATCAGATTTCTGCAGTTATCTGATTATTCAAATGGTCATGTAAACAGCATA